AATTAACATTAAAACTAAAATTTATTAATAAACTCACCCCTAATAATCAAACCCTATCACCATTTTTACAAAACACTATCAATACTGACAGTAAACATTGACAAAAACACTGAAAAGAACCTTCAAATGGTGGTCCATAAAGGATCTGAACTATTGAGCAAGTCGAAAGTCGAGCTGATCGATTTCACGAGCCATGCAGATTTGATGTCCCAAAACCAGGCCACTACATAATTTACTGGGAGATCACAAGGATAAGTTGAAGAGAGAGTTCTTAGTGAATGTTGAAGAGAAATGGATGCAACATTTTTGGATCATGGCTATGTGGTCTCAAGGAGAAGCAATTTGATATGGCCTCTTGAGCTTCGAATTGTGGAGAAGGGAACTTTCAAGAAAATTTTGGAACAATTCAAGTGAAAAACTGATCAGTTTTTCAAATTATTAACATTCAATAAGCCAATAATATATAGAACATTTTCATACGTACCCAAATTCAAGCTAGTTAGCTATAAGGGGAATTTTTTTATTTTTTTATTTTTTTTCTATTAGATCCAATTTAATTTGAGATTTTATTTTATAAATGGGTGTAAAAATAATTTTACACTTTGAATTGGGTTTGAAAAGGTAGTTTAGGTAATAAATTTGGATTTAAAGAGATATTAATTCTTTAATTGCAAATAATATGAGTGTAGAGAATAAATTAGATGTAAAAAGAGGTTATTACATAGGTTCAAATAAAATTTCCCATAAACAAATCGTGAAAAACAAATAAAATTTAAGAACTTATATTAATGGACTTATTTCTCTAACTATTTGTTATATATTCGAAAGAAAATTCCCAATTTTCCACAAAAATTACTCTAATGTCTCTCATACTCTCAGCTTCACTTCTAACATATAGCACAATTAAACATAGCTAACAGAGTGCTAACTCTGAGTAATAGAAAACACAAAAAAAGGAAAAAGCGAACTTGAAGTTTAAAAGCTACCTACGGTTAGAAAATAACAAAATCAGGGACTTGGGGAGTCATGGTTCAGTAATTTTATGGAAAGGGTACCATCCCGAACGATTTTAACACGAAATGAATCCAAAGTCGCCATCTACCTTCGGTGCAATCTACCTTGAATCCCTTACTCAGCAATACAAACATAAATCACCTTTCCTCTTTCGCAGGAGGCTGACAAACATTTCATAATTCTCAGTTGCTTTGACATTAAATAAAAAACTTACACACCTGGTTTCCCCACGCTGAAACGATGATCCTATGGGATGTTTATTAGTCCTAAAGCCATAATCTTCCAAAAATGGCAGAAACAGACAACTTATAATTTGGCACACACACTATTCCACAGAAACTGAAATTTCTTACCGCAACCACAGAATCTCTAGCAGCAACCGCTAGGATGTCTGCACATGACACGGTTTGCCGCACACGCCGCCTCCAATGCAGCCTTGATATCGGCCACCACTTCGAACGGAATTCTCTCCCATCATTTCAGCCGTATCATCCAGAAGAACGGAGGCATCGCAACCCTACAAATGAGAAAAAAATCATGTTAATTTTCACTCCAAACGCCATGGTATAGTCGAAATGAAATTTAGCAAAATATAGTACAAAAACTAAACAAACATGCAGATGTAGCATACTCACATTCACGAAACAGTCGTGAAAGAACAAGTTGAGGAGCGAGGCTGCCATCCTCGGCTCCTCGTAGACGACATTGCGGACATGACCCTCGATGATGGTCATCACGTCGGGACACTTGGAGGAATATGGGTTAAAGGTGTTGTTTGAAGCATTAACAATTGAGGATGAAATGAGGAAAAATAGGAGAAGAAAAGCCATCCTCTTCAGCTTCTCAGAAGCTTTTCGTGTTGCGGCTTCTCAGAAGCTTTTCTGTGTTGCGGAAGTGACAGGCCGTTTGTTGCTTGGGTATGGTATGTATAGTATAGTTAGCATGTGGACTCTAGAGCATAAGGTGTGGAGCAGTAATGGAAATTAATGATCTCAAGGAAGAGGATGCTAAATACAAATGCAAAAGAAATTACTGGGCTGTAAATTTTTTAATTTTTTTTTAATTTTTTAGATGAATATTTTGTTTTGTAAGTGGTTTGTGACCTTGCAGGATATGCCAAGTTACACAAACATTCCAAGTCCAGCTTGTATAGCAGGTTTAGTAATCTAAGAGCTAGACTTTGAACTTGTTCTTTTTTAGGTCTATAGGAAAGGAGAACTTTGAATACTAGTTAAACTCGGTTATTATGTGAATAAACTTTGCATGTTAGGTTGTAATACACTTTTTATACATCATTATTTGTAAAATTACATGCATGTTAGGTGCCATTGTTTGTTAGATTAAAGCTAGGACCCGAGTGCAAAGCGAAGTTTTTGATCAACTACGCTATAAGTCATTTACTAATTGGTCGAATTGACAAGTCAAATTGGGGATGGCAAAGAGTAACCTAAACTCGATAGACCCGCATCTAAAAACTCTCGTCAACATTTTCATCACTTTATCACTTACAATGTGTGTTTCCTAGTCTTTGAAAAACATAGTCAACGACCCATATTTTGTTACCTTACACACGCATTTGCTTGTTGCTACCAACATTCTTATTTACTGTATATTTTATTTCCTATTTAAACATTGAGTCCTTCTAGGGTTTGGTTTTATGATTTGGATGTGTATATACATCTCTTAGGTGTTGAAATTGTTATCTTTCAACAATTATCAATAAAACTTGAGTTTTTCTCTCTATTTCTTCCTAGTGGATTCTAGTGAAGGAATATCGTTCGGTTTTCCTTGTTACATCCCGCTACATCACATGACTAAGTAAACTTTGGCAACCTAAATTAAAAATCACATGCACCTATATATGTACAAGAAATTACTACCATCCCATGTCATGATTATTGAAATAATGATCATTTTTCTAGTTGAAAATGAAATGCAACAAACTATTGGTTTATATGATCAGTAAAATTGATGTACTCATTGACTTTGTAAATAAAATTTGGAAGTAAAACCAAATGAAAATAAGAAAAGCAACACAGAGGGTTTAGGATTTGTAATTTCCCTTCCTTTTATATATGGAACTGAGGCAAAAGTTATTAGGTGTTTTTCCACTGTAAGTGATGAGAAAGTGAGAGCAAGGTGCAAGCAATATGCATCTCATCTCCAGCAATCAAATATTTCAACAGGCAGTATGAGAAAAAAGGGCCTAATGCCTGTTGCCCCGTAGCCACAAGTGGCAGCCAAGGGCCAAAGTCTATTGCCCCATTACAGATACTTTTACTGCATAGCTTGTGCACATAATGCACATGTCCTCTTAATTTAAAGCACTTTCATCGGTTGGTGAAAGATAAGGACAAAGGCAATAATGATACTCTCCAGCCCAAAAAATCATCTTCAGCAGTCCAACAAAGCAAGGGAAAGTATTGGGCCAACTACTGCCCGCTTAAAAGCCTGAGCATCTCAAGTCCAACCTTACACTAGCGGGTAAGGCTGAAGTCAGCATGATGTTAGTCACGTTTTAATTTTCTTTACGTCAGGCACGTGTAATACACATTCAAAGAGGGGCGAGTGGCTGATAGTTACTGCAGCAATGTGGCCACTGCATTAATCCAACAATCGATAGCCAACGGCTAGTTGACGTGGCTTTGTGAGGACTGATGCATTTCCAATGGAAAAAAATTGGAAAAATTATCCTCCTAACACGTGGCATGTTTTGGCACATTGGATTTCAAATGAGTTTGGAAATCAACCGCCAAAATTAATCCAACCATAAAATATATATATATATATATAAGATAGGAAAAAAAAAAGGGAAAAATAAGAATTTTTTTTTTTTTTTAACCGTTCTATAAATACCCAACCTTCTCCTTCATTCTCCACATTACAACCTTCTATGTTTTTTATTTAGACCTTTATTATGTTATTAGACATTTATTATAACACGTAGGTGGTAAGGGCAACAAAACAACCCACAAAATCGAAATATATATATTTGTGAATAGTACTTGCTCTTGTCTGTGGCAAATGGGTGGAAGTGCACGAAGGTAAATACTATTCAAAGTGAATAGTAAGGACAAGCTACTTGTTGTTACTCTTCTAAAACGGGTGGACTTTAGCTATGACACTTGTACTTTTCACTAAATTTCATTTTAATTCTTACACTCTATATTGTCTCACTTCAACACCTACACTCTTCCTTAATATTTCACTTTACTCTATTTGTAAAATAAGTTTTTAAAAAAAAGCTATTAATTGTGCTTACGTGTCATGGACAATTTAATCTTTTCAACTATGTTAGTACGATCCATGAGTGTTGGGATGTGAGTTAAACTCAAACCAAGGTTTGATCATTCCAAATTAAGAAAAATAAAGAAGATGATATGATAGAGGTAGAGATTCTCATGTCATAACCCCAAAATTCTTTGCAAAAGGATTCAAAAATATAGGATTTGATTTGCGAATCAAGAAAGTGAACACTCTCTTTTTGTATTTCAACCTTCTCCTCTTGTATTTTTCTCTTATTCTAGAAAAATCAAATCCTAGTTTGAGTTTAACCTAATTACTCATAGATTCCACTATCATACAATGTCACGTTAATCCTAAAAATTGAGTAATTCTCTAAACTCAACCCAAAATGATAATAAAAAAAGGAAGCGTCTCTCAGTTTTGTTGAACGTCGGCGGTCATGGATCATGTACTTGAGTTCTCTGAGAGATTCGTACTAACAGTAAACAGCCCAACGGCAGTCAAGAGGACAAGCAAAAGTGCTTTTCTTTAACGCGCTTTTATCATTACCCAGAAGGCCAGAAGCCCGTTAGGTGATATTGGCTTTTGTTGCCGTTGAAAAAAATCGAACGACACCCGACGCCCCAACAAAATTTCAAAAAATCAATGCGCATATCACTCCATCCATCTCTACTGTCCTACGTGTCATTCGACCCCTCTCCCGCCTTTCCCGCAACCCCCGTAAACCCCAGCACTATTTCCCCTCCTCTACCCGACTACCCCTATCACACGTGTAAAATCTCTATTTATCAGGGGTATTTATGGAACTCCGGAAAAATCAAACGTACACTTTCGTTTGTACTAATGGCCGTGCTGCTCGGGTTTGTGTCTGTCTGAAGACTATGATATCTCTCTCTGCTCAGAAACCAAACATCATTAATCTACACGCGAAGTGTTGTTAGGTTACTGGGAAAATTTCAATCTTTGGTTTCGGTCTGTTGGGATTTCATTTGGGTTGTCGGGTTTGGACATGGAGACCGGAATCATCGGAGTGTCGGAGTCGGGTTTGGATGTGGGGAAGGAGGACAGGGTTTTGAGGGCGGAGATCGATACTTCGGCCCCTTTTCAATCGGTGAAGGAAGCAGTGAGTCGATTCGGTGGAGTCGGTTACTGGAAGCCCTCTCAGCTCACCAATAAGCCTTCTGGGCCTGCGGTAACTCTCTCTCTCTCTCTCTCTCTCTCTCTCTCTCTCTCTAAACATATAAAGATTGGGTTTTTCTTTTGAGAAATGTAGAAATAAGAATAGGGTTTTTTCTTAAAAGGAGAAAAATTACATGGATTGCGATTTATGGCTTTGGTTTTTGGGCTGACGATGAAGTTTTAGTTTGAAATGTAAGGTTTTGTGTTGTTCTTTAACGTTTAAAGTTGTTTAATTGTTGGTTCAAATTGTAAATTTGTAATGAAAATGCATTCTTACACTTGGATTTAGAGCAGCCCGAGCGATCCGATTGCTTCGGAATGTAGTTGAAACTTGTAATGGAATTTGATGAACTTCAGTTTCTGTGGAATAGTGTGTGCCAAATGCTATTAGTTGTCTGTTTCTGCCATTTTTGTGAGTTTATGGCTTTAGGACTAATGAACATCTAGCAAGTTTTTTATTTAACGCCAAGGCAATCGAGAATTATGAAATGTGTGTTAGCCTACTGCGAAAGAGGAAGGGTGATTTATGTTTGTCTTGTTGAGTAGGGGACTCAAGGGTTTTGGCTTGTACCATATAGGATTGCGTCCTTGTACATCTTGTCATATCTTTCGTGTTGGTTGCGCCGAAGGGTAGATTCATAAGTTGCAACTTTGGATTCATTTCGTGTTAAAATCATTCTGGGATGGTACCCTTTTCATAAAATTACTGAACCATGACTCCGTAAGACCCTGATTCAAAGAGATTGATTGTGTTGTTTTCTAACCATAGGTAGCTTTTTAACATCAAGTTCGCTTTTTTCTTTTCTGGTGTTTCTATTGCTTACCAAATTGCTAAAGACTACCTTATCACGTGGTGACGTGTTTCTCTTCTTAGCAACATGACATTGAAGATGTTGACACTGCAAAACTCGAGGAGCAGGCTTTGCAGTTGGAGAAAGATCTTACTTTGAAAGAAAGGGAAACGCTGGATGTTCTAATCGAACTTGAAGAAACCAAAAAGATAATTGATGAGTTGAAAAGGAAGCTACAGGAAGAAGTATCTGAAGTGAATGTGGCCCTTGAGGCAAATGGAGGTAAGGAATACGTGACTCCTGTGGTAAATGAAGAGGATAAGGAAAACCATGGCAATGTGGGTGGTCATTACAATTCAATGGGCGGCATGATTCCCTGCCCTTCTTCAGCTCCAGGTTTAATCTTGATGGAACTGAAGCAGGCGAAAATGAACCTTACAAGGACTACTACCGATCTTGCTGACATTCGAGCTTCAGTTGAATCATTGAACAAGAAATTGGAAAAGGAAAGAACCATGCTTGAGAAAACCCGTGTGCGGCTAACTTCAAATTCTTTGAAAGTGTTGTCTCTTGAAGAAGAGTTAAACCAAACAAAACTAAAGCTACAATTGGCAAAGGATGGTGAAACTAAAGTTGGTACTTCTAATTCTTTAGATATTTCAAGGAGCTTCAACGGCTGAGTTCTGAGACTGAGCAGTTCAAAAGAATGGCTGAAGCTGCAAAGTTAGAGATCTTGCGAGCAACGTCTGAGATTGAACAAACAGGACCGAAGATAAAAACGGCTGAAATCCGGTTGGTTGCTGCGAGAAAAATGAAGGAGGCGGCTAGAGCTGTAGAAGCAGTGGCTCTAGCAGAAATTAAGGCTCTATCATACCACGAGAGTTCATCTGGAGATTCATTGCAGAAATTCGACGACGTAACTCTTTCATTCGAGGAATACTCAGCCCTAACCCGCAAAGTTCGAGATGCAGAGGAACTTTTTAAGAAGAGGGTAACATATGCCATGCTTCATGTTGAAGAAGCAAACGTGTCAAAAATGGAAATCCTGAAAAAAGTAGAGGAAGCAACTGAAGAAGTCAAAACCAGTAAAAAGGAATTGGAAGAAGCTCTGAATAGAGTGGAGGCTGCAAATAGGGGGAAACTGGCAGTTGAAGAAGCTCTCCGCAAATGGAGATCCCAGCACGGTCAAAGAAGACGTTCTGTTCACAACTCTACCAAGTTCAAAAATCCTTGCCCGTCTAATCACAGGAAAGATTTGAAGTTACGCGATGTGAATGGTCTGAATCTTGGTAGTGACGGGCCAACACCTGTGTTGAAGCCAACTTTGTCCATAGGACAAATACTAAGCAGGAAGCTGCTTTTGCCGGAAGAGGTTGAAATGGAGGTGGCTGGAAAAAACCCTGTAAAACAAAAGGTGTCACTAGGACAAATGCTGCAGAAACAAAATGGTGATCAACCCTCTTCTGGGAGGTTTGAGAGGGAAAGCAATATCAAGAACTGTTCTGGTAAGAGAAAGAAATCTGGATTTGCTCGATTCTCGCTACTCTTGACGAAGCAAAGCAGGAAAAAGAAGAAGCCAACTCCAAACTTGAAGTGATTCGGCCTGTCAATCGGCTTATTATCTCAATCAAGAATTGACTTTAGTTGTATGTGTGCGCGTCTCAGATTGTTATTGCTTAAGAATTCATTTCGTTTAGGTTGTAGTCGTTCCCAGACTATTGTATCTGTTCATTATATATGTAACCTTTATGTGGTGGTTGTGAAGTAAATGCACCTAGCTAATGCTAAAGTTCTTCAAGAGCCACGTTTAATTTGCCTCCCAAAAATGTTTGTGATACACAAGAACTAAACCCTTCACCCGAGGTCCTGTGTTTAATTCCCTCCCTTCCAATATCGCTCAAGAGCGACTTCTACCAGTTGGCTTGTAAAAATGGCGCCAACAAACAAACATTTGCCTGGCAATCATCATTTTGCACGTTGGTAAGACGGGAAGGTACAGCCAGCTTCATGTGGTGGCCAACTTGAGTTAAAAATTATCCTGTTGGTATCCATCAAGCATCCAAATTTGACAAACTCAGTGGTCCAGTGGTTAGGGACGAATTCCAGGTATGCGTTCCACACAACATATCTTGATTTCGATTCTTATCGCTGGTGAATCACATAATCAATGGAGGCTGAAATGCTCTCTATGAGTATTTCCGATCCTTAGAAAAATGGACTGTCACCAACGGGTCCCCAATTGAAAAAAATAAAAGAAATTAGAGAAGTGATAACCTTGTTTAGTATATAAAAATCGAATGTTTATCAAAATAATGCCTCTTCGGAATGTCCGTTGTACTTGTTTGTGGATATGCAGTTTCGTCACTAGTTCCGTAGAAACAAGAAACACCAAAAATATCTCATAAAGCAAAACAAACCCAATCCTACGTGGATACGCAGTTGACAGGGTAAGGGAAAGGATCATCTCCAGAACTTTTTCTCCTAATCCTTTAAATTCAGAGATTCAGACTATTAAAATTTGATCCAACGGTTAAAGTTACTATAACTTTTAAAGTGAGCCCCTGTTTGTAGCCGTTAGATTAAATTTCAATGGTTCGGATCTCCGGACTAATGGATTTGGAGAAAGGGATACGGAGATGATCCTTTTACGGGCAAGATCACAAATTCCAATGTGACACGTAGGAAGGAGTCCATGTCACATGTTACTTAGCACACACAAGCCCAACCCAGATGGGGAAGCTGTTCCTGTATAAAACAAACAAGATGACAAGGCAAACGATCACCAACGGCAACGCAACGCATATCCCCACCCCCGAACACTTCGAAACAAATAAGAAAGAGAGAAGAGGGATTCCAAAAAATCCAGTTTTCCACCTCTCTCTCTCTCTCTCTCCTCCCTGACAATCACAGGTAAATATCTATGTATCTCCGATTGTTCGGGATTTCGATTCCGCTCGTGTCTGTTCTTCCAACGTCGAAAATTCTTAAAGAGTCTTTATAACTTCAAACTTGCTCCTTATTTCGTTTCCCACGTTTTCTCAGCACCAAAAGGCAAAAGCTGTGATTTTTAGGATTGATTCAATATCTGTCTATGTTGTTTGTTTTTTTTTTGGATGTTGGTGTTTTTGCATGGATGGTTTTGCTAACTTGGTTCTTCTGTTTGTACGTCGTTGACAAATTTTATTGCTTTTGGTCTCTGATTAAGGTTGTCTGTTGTTTGGTTATTTATGATATAGATGTTCTTGCTTTTACTATTAGACTATCAGTAGCACTAGCTAATCGGTTCGGTAGGGTATTTGCGAAAGAAGTAAACTTTGAGCTTACTGTACACTTTGATAAGAATTTACCTTGCCACACTTGGTTTGGTGAATTCGGCTCCTCAAAATTTAGGCAGGTCTGTTCCGGTCTTACGGACAGTTTTCTAGGGAGCATTGATTCGAGGGTTACGGCCCTGACCCTTATAGCACTTGTTATTCAATATTTTGCCACATGGGGCAATAGTTTCCGACTATCATGAGGCTCAAGGTGTATTCGGATTGTAACTGGAATGGAGTCACTAAACTATGACACGACTGCGATAGATTGATATCTGTTGTTTGCGTTTCTGTATGGTTTCTCTTATATGAAAATTTGCATATTTCGTAGTACTATTTTCATGCGTTGATAAATTTTCTTACTTTTGGTTGCTGGTGTTATTGCTGTTATTGCTTTTACTATATGACTAATTTCTGACTTCAATTGGGTAAATGGTTAAAAACATCAGTTGACAATCGGAAGAGTGTTTGGGAAATAAGTAAACTTTGAACTTGCTATGGACTTTGAGATTTTAGTTTGCCCCACTTGGTTTGGTGAATTCGGCTCAATCAAAACTTAGGCAGGTGTGTTAGAGACAGCATGCCAATCAGTAGCGAATCATGCGTTACGGTCCTGACCCTAGTTGACGTTAGCCCTTGTTATTCAACAGCTTGCGACATGAGACAATAGTTTCCAACCATTATTTGGTTCAAAGTGCATTTGGGATGTAAATAGAATGGAGTCAGTAAATTATTATATCGTCTTCTATCTGTTCTTGAATCTTAATCGCACTTGCAGCTTAAGCATGTCTTCAAAGACAGCATGTAATAACCAGGTTGAAAATCCTGAACGTATCAGATTTTGATGTGTTGAAGTTAATTTTTACCTTGTTGATCCTGATTAGCCACAGTTTTTAGATGACTTGTGATAAATTATGGTTACCGTTATCTTTTTGAACTTAGAAGATGGAACCATGATCATATTCATCAAATCCACAAGCTTAAGAAGAAAACTTGGAGCCCTAAATGCATGTGTCTTTTTTATTTGTCGTTGATATTTAGTTTGTTTACGAAGGTTAACAAGCTACCGCACATGTGAATTGAGCTTAATCATTTGCCACACATGACCAGTGTTAGACTGCTGTTTTAGGGTCTAGGCCCGAATAAACCTACAGTTCTTTCTATCTACTTATTAGTAGCATTCTGCAATTGGCTTCTTGCTCGGAAAACTGTGTTGAAAATTTGTCAGCGATGTGGGATGTACGTTTTCAGAAATGCTACTCACCGCAAACAAAAATGAGTTATCAACTTATTACTCCAGGAGAGCTGAAAACTTTGGAGCTTTTTACTTCAAATATTGGCAAAAATAGACTGCTGGGTTTTCTCGTGATTGTTGATAACTTATTACTCGCAAGAAATTTCTCGTGGTTTTTATCCAACGGCGCTTCATGCCACCTAGACAACTGAATTCTATTTTTGCTTTCTGTCAGCTGGAGATTATTGAGTTACTTCTGAAGGCATGCAGTCCGGTGGAGTACTATACCAAAAAGGTGAGGAAAATTAAGAATATTAGTCAATATCCATGGATTCATATGTTCTCATCAAAAGTGTGTTTTATTCCCCGATTTTCATGAATGCTTTAACAGATCAAATTGAAAACTGATATTCATATATGAGAATTTTATTGCTGTATGCATTAACAGATTAATCACTTGGTTATTTATCACGGCCCTTCAAAATCTTTTCCGTTGAAATGTCTCTCTTCTCTATCTTTGGGACAGATGATACTAACCGTTTAAAGTAGTTCCATTGCTTCAGTACCTTCATATGGTTCTCTTGTAACCCGCTTGAATTTTCAACAGTGCAAGAAGCTCGTTTTCAAGTATGCCCCACTCATGCTTGCCAATGCAGAGCAATACCTCGAAACAACAGACGTATGCACTGCACTAGATGCCTGTAATTCGAACACAGCTAGCATTATGGAACACATATCCAATCTTTCCGACTCTTAATCGTGGCAACAAAGAGACACTGGACTGATGAATCCATTCCGTCATGGGAACAAAGGTAAACTGGAACTTGTGTCTAACACATCGTTTGTGTAAAAACACTCCCAGGTGTGCCCGGCTGTGCTGTAATCTCTTTGTGACAGGAGACTTGATTCAACATTTATTTTAAAATATGTAACGATAAAATTCTGTACCGCATTATCTTTGACGATTCGTAATCTCTTATGTTATTCGATGCTAAATCATATTTAGATTGCAAAACAAGGAAAAATCAAACGTTTTAGTTGTTTTAGTGATGCAACGTTGAGTTATATATGTTGAACATGCTGTTGCTTACAGACAACTTTCCTTGCTGCTAAAACAAAAGATGGCTTTTATATTTTTAGCAGCACAGAACAGCTCCGCGACTCTACAAATCTATTCTCCAGCTCCCACGGTTGGAGGGAAATATGTGTACACCTCGGACGCTGTTAGAATGATATCCCGAGTCAATTAAGCATTATCATGCAAGAAAGTTAAAATATATGACAATACTTGATAGCTTTGGATAATGATACAGTACTGATAATTGATACTTGAAAAAAAAATAAAAACAGTGTTTGATTGACTTTGAATACTGCAACACAACACTTGTTTCTTACAAGAAAACAACTCAATAAACAAGTACGAGTGGGAGACTAGAAGGTTCGAGGGAGATTAAGAAGCCAAGCACCAACTTTAAGCTTTCTTTTTGCTAAAGAAATTATTAAAAAAAAGGCTTGCTTATTATATTTTGTTTGTTGATTGGTTTCACGAAGCTTCCCTAATTCTTCCCTTAATGGTCGACTTGCAAAACCCACATGCTTTTGAAAATTCTAGACTTCTCCGACCATATGTTTCATATGTTAAATTTCAAATTCAATCATTTTCTCTCAGTGCTAGCATTCTTTTTCCAACTTTCTAAATATAATTAGATTCCAACGCTCATATATTTTGGTTCGTTTCATTGAATTTGTATGGAGCAGCGCGCGGCCAACTCCGACCCGGGAGACGGTGGGGCCCCAGGGAGGGTAACGGGACACGGACAAGTAGGCTCGTGTGGTGCCAAGCAAGCAATCGCTGAGGGGGACGTGAAGGGTGGGCAGCCGTCGCAGTTGAAACCTCTGCTAATACCAAAAACTGGAATATTAATTGCGTTGTCGTGTCGTGATTGGTTTCTGGGTGACAATGCCAAAGATGTTCGAGTCATGAAGCATCGCCCGCCGCCCACCCAAATTATATGCATTGCACCCCAACGCCAATCAAAATCAAAATATTGCCTTGAATGTTTTTAATATCGTAGTGATTAAGGTTAATGATATCAGAATTTTTTATTTTTTATTTTTTTTGTCAAAATGATATCAGATTTGAGTTTTCTAGTGGTTTCTAACAATTAAAAATATTTTCTGTTGAATTAAAAAATTTAGAAGTGTTTATAAGTGGTAAAAGCGCTTTCTGAATAAGCACTTAAGAGTCGTTTAGAAGTATTTTCAAAATAACTGAAAATGTTTTTGAAACCAAAAAGAACCTGAAGTGTTCCTTGAAAAAGCCTTAGTTATGTGTTTCTTGTTAGGTTTTTTTAGGATTCACTTGCATATTAACCAATGATTTGTTCTGAAAATATTTTCATCAAAAACATTTTACCAATTTTAAAAACACTTCCAATTCTTATTTAAAATGCAAATGAATTATGGAAAAGAAAGCATTTCAAGTGTTTTTGGAACTTAAAAACATTTTTTGTAAAACGGTTTCATTCATTTAAAAACACTTCCAAACGAGTCGCTTCCTAATTTTTTTTTCATATAAACTATAGCAATTTGTAGATGTAGTTACAAACGAGCATGATTCTACCTCTAACAATGAAACTTTCAACAAAACACTCAGCCAACAAATTCCTTCTCACAAAAGCATTATTATTTATTAAACAAGCACTTAAGGTAAGCAAATGATGACTATTATTATGGAATTGGATCTACTTCGAACCTTAGTGTCCGATGCCTAGAGATCCGTAAATCTGAGCTACACATTTGTGTGAAAAGAAATTGGAATCGTTAACTTGTATGAGGTGGATCAACGAAATGAGTTAATGAGAAATATCAAATTCGGCTCAAATTTGTGATTCCGTAAGTTCCGGACATTAAGGTGGTGGATCCATTTCCTGTTATTATGGCTTCCGTTTAACAAAAGCGCATGGAGTTAGCAAAACAAAACAGATATTATACTAATTTTACGAATACTTTATTTAAAATTTGGAAAATAATTTAAGAAAAAAAGGTGGCGCCTTTGTATTTATGTCCATGAACAGTGAGTGCGCAGTGCTGTGATCTGATGCAAACAAGAAGCCAAAAAATACGAGTGAGAAAAAATTCGGAAATTTATTGGTTGGCGTTGGCGCGTTAGGCACAGCGTATAAAGGATAGCCACACACCACTACAGCCATTTGGGTTTTCTTTTCGCTTTTCTTTATCTTGCTTTGAATCCAAAAAGCAAACCAAAATTCTGTTCTTCATTCTTTCCAACTGGGAGAGAATTTCTACCTCTAATTCCAAGGTAAAGCTCGAATCTTTTTATTCGTTTCTTTAATTCTATTTGTTGGTTCTGTCAAGTGTGAATTTTTTATTTTTTATTTTTTATATTTTTATATTTTTTATAATCTGTTTCCTGTTTGATTGCCTAGAAAATTTGAGTTTTTCTTTTATTTTCCCTTGTTGAGATGCTGAAATCTTGGAAATTTGAAGCTGGGAAATGGGTTGTTTTTCCCTGTTTCTTTTTGGATGAGTTTTAATTGAATATCTTGAATTTAAGAAGTAATTATGTTGCTGAATTGTTTACCTACTAGAAGTTGAAATAAATTAAAACCTTCAAATTATTTTATAAATTGCTGAAATAGATGATGAAGTTCACAGCTTTCGAATATGAAAGATACAGAAAACTACGCATTATTTTCGAAATTTGCTGCAACTTATGCACTGAATTTAGAACTTGTTAGCAAGTGCTTTTAAAATTTTTGAAAACGCTTTTAGTGAAAATAATTTTAGGTTACAAAAGCATTTATTTACTTGCACTTTTACTAAGAATTGATTCCAAAAATATTTTTATTAAAAACAGTTTCAACGGTTTTAAAGCACTTTATGTTTGTTGTTGGCAAGTTTCGCTCTTTGACTGCTTGCTACCTTGTTTTGTATCCGTTTGAGTTTGAACCAAGTCATCTTTTTCAGTTTTCTCTGGGTTATCAAAGACGAAAGCCAGGGAATGCTGAAAGATGTGCTTCAAGGTTGAGAATTCGCCATCTCTTATCGATGAGGTTGTAGCTTTGTTTGAGCTGCCCTTGCTTATCAATGATGAGACTGAAAAAACTCGCAGTGAGTTCAGATTCTATGCTCAAGTGCCTACTTCAGTGAGAAATATAGGTGGGCACATCTTGTCGAAACATGATGTCTATGAAGATGGTTGAACTTTTAAATTCTTGAGAATATAGTTTCTGTATTGTATATTACGCTATCGGGTAGAAGTAGCTTCTGCTGTGTACAAGAATAGTTAGCCGGAAATGGAAAACAAAGGGAGTGTGTTGATGCAGCGGTATGAATTGGGGCGAATACTAGGCCAAGGAACCTTTGCCAAGGTTCATCATGCAAGGAATCTTAAAACCGGTATGAGTGTGGCGATTAAGATAATTGATAAAGAGAGGATCTTGAAGGTTGGAATGATTGATCAGATTAAGCGAGAAATTTCTGTCATGCGACTGATTAAACACCCGAATGTTGTGGAGCTTTATGAGGTAATGGCCAGCAAAACCAAGATTTACTTTGTCATGGAGTATGTCAAAGGCGGCGAGCTCTTCAACAAGGTTTCCAAAGGCAAGCTAAAGGAGGATGTTGCTAGGAAATATTTTCAGCAGCTCATCAGTGCTGTTGATTACTGCCATAGTCGAGGAGTCTGCCACCGAGATTTGAAACCAGAAAACCTACTTTTGGATGAGAATGAGGATCTAAAGGTTTCAGATTTCGGATTGAGTGCCCTTGGTGAATCTAAGCGGCAAGATGGTTTGCTTCATACAACTTGTGGAACCCCTGCATACGTTGCTCCAGAAGTAATAGACAGGAAAGGATATGATGGTGCCAAAGCTGACATTTGGTCTTGTGGAGTGGTATTGTATGTTCTATTGGCTGGCTATCTCCCATTTCACGATTCAAATCTGATGGAGATGTATAAGAAGATTGGTAAGGGCGAGTTCAAATTTCCTAACTGGTTTTCGCCGGAAGTACGCAGTTTGCTGTCAAAGATCATGGACCCCAATCCAAATACTCGGATATCCATTGCCAAGATTATGCAGAGTTCTTGGTTCCGCAAGGGTTTGGTCCAAAAGCCGGAAATTGCTGAGGTACCAATGAAGGAGCCATCCCCTCTGGATGTTGATGCAATTTTTGGACCAAATGAAGACAGCAATTCTTCTGTCGAGTCAAAGCAAGAATTATCAAAGCCGTCTAACTTGAACGCGTTTGATATCATCTCCTACTCCGCAGGCTTTGACTTGTCTGGATTGTTTGAGCAGACAGACCAGAAAAAGGAAGTGCGGTTTACATCCAACAAAATGGCCTCCACCATCATCTCTAAGCTGGAGGACATTGCCAAGCGTCTGAAGCTAAAAATAAAGAAGCGGGATGGAGGATTGTTGAAAATGGAAGGGTCCACGGAAGGCAGGAAGGGGGTGCTGAGCATTGACGCCGAGATATTTGAAATCACCCCGACTTTTCATCTGGTGGAAGTGAAGAAGTCTAGTGGAGATACATTGGAGTATCAGAAGGTCATTAAGAAAGATATCAGACCAGCTCTGAAGGACATTGTTTGGACTTGGCAAGGGGAGGAGCAGCAGCAGCAGCAACAAGAAGAAGAGCCACGACAACTAGTGCAGGAGCTGCCGCAGGGACAAGAACATGTAGGGAAGCAAGAACCGCCACAGCAAGGGAAGCAAGAGCAACAGCCTTCTCTGGCACTCCCAGTGCATGCAGTCTCACCCCAGGATTCGTAACAATCGAATAAAAAAATGGTAGCGGATTTGATTGTAGTATGTGATGATATGAACCTTGTTGGTCTAGTATTGAGAAACATTAGTTTTTCTTAAACTAAGCGTGGTGGCGTGAGGATTCATGTAATAAAATTGCTTTTTTTATACACTTGATTACTTTTCCTACGGCGGTGGGTTTAGGTGGTTTAGGGGGACGGGGATGGTGTGGGTTTTGGTGGTTTAGGGGGTTGGTGGTGGTGGGTTTAGGTGGTTTGTGAAAATAGTGAGTATAGTGATTTTTATGATTTATTTGGACATGAATATTGGTAAATGTTTATGAATACTTGTATGATTTATGAATATTTGTAGGATTTGTGAATAGATAAGATTGTGAAAATAGGGAATAGGTAATATTGTGAAAATAGTAGGAAAGAAATGAAATTTCTATCGTGTTTTTTTTTTTTTTTTTTTCCAAACAAATGTCATCGCCATTTTGCCTTTGCTTCGAGATAGAGTGACCTGACAGGAGGGATACCCAGCCTCACCCAGGCGGCTAGCGGCACCAGAAGGCCACTGCCGAGTCGGTGGTCGACCCCAATACTTCTAATGCATTGAAGCTGGGGACCCGATCTACCAGGCGTCCTCACATCCAAAGACGACATGACTCTATGGTAGCTTCGCCCCCAACCCACCCTACTGATGCAGTGGAGGCCTATTCAGCGAGCGTGCAGCCTGTGGAAGACAGAGAACTCCCAATCGGGAAGAGAAACAAGAAATTATGGGGAAGTACTCCCTCAACTAGCGAACCCGCAAGTCAATAGCTTGTTGACGCACGACATGGGTGTTGTTTTGTGCACCAAGTGCTCCATGATCAGCAACTCATGGACTTGGAACTAATTAGAAACGTATGGGTATGAATTAAAACTAAAAGAATATTGGTACAAATTAGTTTAATATGGGTACATATCAAGATTTAAAATTATGGGGTACAGATTAAAGTTAAAAAAAAAAATAAGGGGTGCAAAAAAAATTGAAAAATAAAAGTAGAAATTAAAGAAAATACTAAAAGAATATATTTTAGAAATTGAGTAAATAAATTGAAAATTGTGGGTCCAATGAGATAAGTGAGCCAGCAAGACTATATTCGACTTCTTCACATTGGATTGGACTACTAAAACCAACAGACCAAAAGCCCAATTGGAATCAGCAAACATACAGACCAACTTGTTGGGATTTTGTTTGATCCACAAGCACACAGCCCAATTCTATGTACAGGAGAAGAGTAGGATTTGAAAAATAGGTGTGCTATTCACACACCTTTTTTTACTTCTCACACACCCTCTTAAGTTTCGGCCGTCTGATTGAATTAACTGAAAAAGATTAAAGGACAAAAATTAATAAAGGGGTGTGTGAAAAATAAAAAGAGCTGTGTGGATATCACACCCTTCTGATAAAATAATTTGCGGTGGGATTGCCAGATAATCTTATTCCCTCCCAAATTGAGAGATGATCAAGTTTAAAGGAAAACATACACAATTGGACGAAATCAATATTCTAGTATTATACTCTATCGAGAAGACTTGGAGGATGAGTTCATGTACATAATTATGCATGATTTGTAATTGATCAACCATGCTCATTGTCCACATACAGATTCATCACCCATGCACAACTTCTCAATCACCATAAATACAATATCTCAATCCTCCTTTAACCTCACCCACTTTTCTCATCTCATTTCAAACCCAAACTCCTAAAGCTAAACCCTTCTCAATTCAGCTTCATTTCCAGATTTCTATGTTTTCTTTTCCAATGGAAAACAAAGTCTTCCTCACCACCATTTCTATCCTCCTCATCCTTCTATCCCTACTTCCTCACCCATACAATGTTGTATCTCCCCTTGTCCTAGACCTTCTACTAGCACACTTGCCCCGACCCACCTCCATCATCCGCCAAGTTGTCCGAAAAGCCGTCGTTGAAGAGGCTCGACTCATATTCTCCCTGCACCGCATGCACTTATACGACTGCTTCGTGCACGGCTGTGATGACTCCATCTTGCCAGATGACACCTCTACCATGGAATGAGAGAAAAGCACCCCTCCTTATTCACTCCACGGATTCCAGGTTGTCGATGCAGCAAAGTCCGAGCTCGAGGATGTCTATTCGGGCATCGTGTCCTGCACTTACATTCTGGTCGTGGTAGCTAGAAAAGGGGTCATGGCCGTGGGCAGGCCAACTTGGGATGTCCAGCTTGGCCAGAAGGATTCTCTGACACCCAATGCCACCACTACCATGGAACTGCCTGGCCCAGATTCCCCTCTCACCAAACTTAAGCAAAAGTTCGTCGCCAAAAGCTTCACTACGGTAGAGATGGTGGCCTTGTCTAGCTCTTACACCATCGAGAGGGCGAGCTGCTGGTTCTTCCAAGATCTTATCTACAACAATGACAGCAACATGGACCGTCAGTATGTGGCAAAGATGCAGTTTGCCTATCCATCGATCGGGGGTGACGTCACAGTGGTAGTCGTTGACCCTCAGAGCCCCAACTCATCAACAAGACCTATTACGGCAACCTCGTCGAGCGAAAAGATCTGTTCCAGACGGACCAGGCATTCTTTGGCAATGAGGGTGGCAATGCATCGGGTAGGCCTAGCAAACAAGTCATGTTTTCTGTGTTTCATGTCGTTTTGTTATACCACATGTTATCTTAACGGGTTGTGTTGTGTCACACCCATTATCATAATGGGTCCTTAACAGGTTGGGTCACTTTACCCAACAGGTAAAATGACCCGACCGTTTAAGAAAAATATATATTTTTTCTTAAATTTGCACATACTACATTACCACATAAATATTATTTCAAAAGATAAAAACACATTTGTCGTTAAGTACTACATCTACACTCCAAAATAAGAGCCTAATAAAAAAGCAACAATACACTATTAGTCTACTACAAATATCAAATGTGCAAGGATATGAAAAATGAAGGAGTTTTTCTTTTCAAGGTTGTAAAGCCTTTCTCAGAAGTTAAAACCTTGCCAATGAAACTCAAAGCTTACTTGTTATTCCTTTTACAAAATCCTTCAATTTTCATCAATCATCATGGGGAAATTGTATTGGAACTTTGGTTTGATCTATTGTTGTCAAGAGTTATGTTGATAATGTTTTTAGTAAGGTTTTCCACATCATAACTCTCTTCTGCATAAATTACGTATAGAAAAACCAAATATTATAAACCATTCAAATTATGAGAAGTTTACCATAATAATTATGAAAAGAAATAAAACAATAGTATTATACCATATAAAAATATATTACCTTTTTTTTCAAATTTTCTAAATTTAATTTAATATATTTAATATATATATATAATATAATATAATATATAATTATTATAGTATTTTTAATAGTATAAAATTATTAAATTAATATTTTGCTTATCGTATATCGGGTTACCCACTGTGTATACCCGGACCAACTCGTTATCTTAACATGTGCTTATCGGGTTACCCGATAATGACCCGATTTGTTATTGTGTCGACTCGATAACCCATTAATTTCGTGTCGTATCGTATTGGGTTAACGAGTTATGTTAGAAATTACCAGGCCTAGTGTCGGGGGTGGAAGAGTAGGTTTTGCGCTACAGTAGAATAGTTCAGCGTTCCAGGAAGACTTTGTGGCGGCGATGAAGAAGATGTTGGCCCTAAGTCCATTAAGGGGAAACGATGGGGAAGTGCGGGTGAATTGTCGGCGAGTGGACTCGACAGTGGCGTAATTGGTTGGTCGAAGCAGCAGAGCTGGAAAACTAATAAGACAATTTATTATTGTACTAGTTATATTGCATTATAGCTTTAAGGCTCTTGATTATTGAGAATGATAATAATCTAATGTGAATATTAATTAGGTAATAACTAATAAAGACAAGCATATTTGGTCACTAGACTGTGCTTTTGAAATAAGTGGATTGACCTAAACACGATACAACACATGTGGATTAATTTTAAATAAATTTGCCAAGACAAGCCAACCTGTTTGTCACCTCTACTAAGTACGTACGGCAGCTTTAAAGCTAGCTATATTGCACTACAGTTCTAAGGCTCTTCATTACTTAGAATGATAAAAATCTACCGTGAATGTTAATTGGATAATAACTAATAAAGGTAAGCCAATATTTGGTCACTAGAATTGTGTTATTGGAACAAATTAGACTAGTAAGCACACCAAAAGCCCAATTAAATCGCCAAACATATAACCCAGCCTCTTCACATTTGATTTGATCTGATCTGATCCACAAGCATGTAGCCTAATTCTATATATAGACTGAAAGAAGACTCAACTCCATATACAAAACCAGATTAACTGTCATATATATAGGAGAAGAGTACGATTTTAAAAGATGATTTGTAGTGAGATTGCCGGATAATCTTATTCTTCCTAAATTGAGAGATCACGAAGTTTAAAGGGAAAATACATAATGGGACGAAAGTAATATTCTAGTATTATACTATCGGGAAGACTTAGAGGAATAGTTCATGTAAATAATTATGCATGATTAATAATAGATCAGCATGATCATTGTTCACACTCTAATTATATCTCTATAATTAGAGTGTTCACACACATATTCATCACCTATCAGTGTTATCACATATCACCCATGCATAGCTACAAGATTACAGTGTTCATATACTGATTCATCACCCATGCATAGTTTCTCATCACCATAAATACGTAATATCAATCCTTTTTAACCTCATCACTTTTCTCATCCCATTTTAAACCTAAACTCCTAAATGCTGAACCCTTCTCACTTCAACTTCACTTTCAGATTCCTCTATTTTCTTTCCAATAGAAAACAGAGTGTTCTTCACCACCATTTCTCTCCTCTTCCTCATATCCCTACTTCCTCACCCATACATTGCAAGTGCTACATCTCCCATTGTCCTCACCCTTTTACCAGCACACCTACCCCTGAGCCACCTTTATCATCCACCTAATCATCCAAAAGACTGTCGCCAAGGAGGCTCAACTTGCAACCTCCCTACTCCACTTGCACTTCCACGATTGCTTTGTCCAAGTTTGCGATGGCTCCGCCTTGCTGGACAACTTTCCCCACCATGGAAGAAGAGAAGGGTACCCCTCCCAACAAAGATTCACTTTGCTGATTCCAGCTCGTCGATGTTGCTAAGTTCAAGCTCTAGGATGTCTGCCCCTGACGTGGTGCCCTACACGGACATTCTGGCTGTGACAGTTAGAGAAGGGTTCGTGGCCGTGGGCGAGCCAAGTAAGATGTCCAACTTGACCGGAGGGATTCTCTAGCACCCAATGCCACCGCAACCGTGGAACTGCCCAGCCTATTCCTTGAGCCCACTGACGGGAGGCGATGGGGAAATGCAAGTGAATTGTTGGCAGGTGAACCCGACAATGGCGTAGTTGGTCAGTCAGTCAAAGTCGTGGTAGCTAGAAAACTAATAAGACTCTTGATTATTGTACTAGCCTTAAGACTCTTGATTATTGAGAATGATAATAATCTAACGTGAATATTAATTAGGTAATAACTAATAAAAGCAAGCATATTTGGTCACTAGAACTGTGTTTTTGAAATAAATTGGGCTGGCCCGTCCCGTTTATTAAGTGGATCGACCTAAGCACAGTATAATACATGTGGGCCGATTTTAAATAAATTGGCCAAGATGGGCTAACCTATTTGTCACCTCTAATAAGTACGTACTGCAACTCTAATTAAGGCTGACTATATTATACTATGGTTCCAAAGCTCTTGATTATTGAGAATGATAAAAATCTAACGTGAATATTAGCTGGATAATAACTAATAAAGGTAAGCTAATACTCTATCGGGAAGACTTAGAGGATAAGTTCATGTACATAATTATGCATGATTAGTGATTGATCAGCCGTGATTATTGTTCACACTCTACTTATATCTCTATAATTAGATTGTTCACACACATATTCATCACCTATCACATATCACACATGCATAGCTCTAAGATTACAATGTTTACATATTAATTCATCACCCATGCACAATTTCTCAATCACCATAAATACGTAATATCAATCATGCTTTAACCTCACCACTTTCTCATCCCATCTCAAATCCAAACTCCTAAATGCTAAACCTTTCTCACTTCAGCTTCACTCAGCGTCCCCACCTTTGATTGATGTGGACATGTCTTCGGTGAGGACCAAATTTTTCTTCAAGTTGAGGGAATATCTTAACGAGGATGTTATACATTGATTTGTAATACCATTGACTCCATCTTTTGCAAAACGCAAGTGACCCAATCGCAATTGCAAAGCCAAATGCAAATCCAATTTAGACACTTATAACATCCCAATTAATCTCATCTCCAAAATTTGATGACTTCTATTTGATGGTAGTGGTGGTGACAATCCTGTTTTGTTGTTTACCGTCAATGGTGGCCCCCCCATAGTCCTTTGTTACCTGTAAATGAGGTACTTGGAAATGTTGAGAACTGAGTGCCAGTTGGGATCCTGCTAACCAGTTGGTTGTTTGACAGATTCATGAATGAAAGGAAACTAAGGTTTGCCAACTGCGGTGGAATTTTCCCGCTCAACTTGCTATGTGACAGGTCTAAGGATTCGAGATTCCATATGTTGCCCAATGACGATGGGATTTCACCTGTGAAAGTGTTTTTAGACAAGTTAAGGATATGTAATGATTCAAAATCTCCCATTTCCTTAGGTACTTGTCTGCTGAAATTATTGCATGAGAAGTCAATCAAGGTAAAGATAAAGATAATCTTTAGCAAATTCATCTTTAAACCTTTACTAGTAACTGTTACAGCATCTTGAATAGAAGCACGTGGTAAATATGGAAAAAATCTATTTGCCCGTCTAAAACTCTTGATTATTGTACCAATTATATTGCATCTCTAAAACTATTTATTATTGTACCAGTTATATTGTACTATAGCCTTAAGGCTCTTGATTACTAAGAATGATAATAATCTAACGTGAATATTAATTAGGTAATAACTAATAAACGCTAGCATATTTGGTCACTAGACCTGTGTCTATGAAATAAATTGGATTGGCTCGTCCCTTTTATTAAGTGGATCAGCTTAAGCACGGTACAACACATGTGGACCGATTTTAAATAAATTGGCCAAGACGGACCAACCTATTTGTCACCTTTATTAAGTATGTACTTACTGCAGCTCTAATTAAGGCTAGCTATATTGTACTACAGTTCTAAGGCTCTTGATTATTGAGAATGATAACAATCTAACGTGAATATTAACTGGATAATGACTAATAATGGTTAGCCAATACTATACCGGGAAGACTTAGAGGATGAGTTAATGTACATAATTATGCAAAATTAGTGTTTGATTTGTTCAGCCATGTTCACACTTCAATTATATCAGCCTTCACATACACATTCATCGTCCAAGCACTGATTCACAGCTACAAGAAACACCTCCTTTTGCTTCTCAATCACCATAAATATGCCCTCTCTCTATCCTCCTTTTAACCCCATCTCCATTTTTGTCATTGTTTCAGACGTGCTTCCTAAACTCTCATCTCCTAAGCGCTCCTTAACGCTCTAAGCCCATCCTCTCAAACTTGCTTTGTTTTCTTTTCTAGTGGAGATG